TGGCTAAGAAGTTTGGTTGGTGTATGTCTAAAAGAAGATGCGTCACATAATTTTCTAAAATGGGTAATGATATTCAATCTAGCTCACTTGTCAGTAGATCCGTTGTACTAACGCATATTTCAGTGAGAAGCTTAACGAATCTTTCTTTCATTAGATTTGCACTGACCTAAACTTATTTTATATAGTGTAGTTTACAATCATTCTATATAAGTGAATCTGGAATTCCCTTCTGGTTTAATATCGTCTTCAAATATACATTTCTGAATTAAGTATTTAAAGTTGAGCACATCTCAAACTCTACTTAAGCGGTATTTAAATAGGTTTTCGTTTATGATTTTAGTTTTTTAATAGTAAGTTGATAGCAGTTTGATAAAAACTAAGACTTTATGCCTTGTGAAAAGTAAAAAACTTAAGTTATTGCAAATAATCAGTTGAGATTATGTACATTTCTCAATTCAGAAACCGGCCGTGAGTCTACTAAAACTTTACTAGTTTTAATTTTCCACGAATAAAGATATTTTCCAGAGTATCTCCTACTTACTTAAAGCACTTTAAAAATTCATTAAGATTTATTGTGCTATCTTAATACAATAGTTAAATTGAATTTCATACACCCGCTCTTGTACGAACTCGAGTTATTTTAAGTTAATTAGATGTAGCCCATGTAGGGAAATGTATTTCTACTCAGTAACGAAGTGGACGACTTAATTAATTCAGTTAAACATTACTTACAGCGAGCACTCTCCGAAAACAACGACTCTACTTAACCTAAAGCTTTTATATTTTATAGCGATAATAAAATGTTCCAAAAATAAACTTTCAAATGAGCTGAAAGCAAAAAAGAATTATATTTATACTCGTCAAAATTCTCTGTCGTAACATCGGTCGGTTAACTCTTGCTAACTCATAAAAATATTCCAAGAGGCATTAACAAAACTACAAAAAACATGATTATGCACCTAAAACAACTATTCTGAAAAGAAATTTTATGGCGCCACATTCAAAAGACATCTCGAAATTATTTATTGACCAATACCTTATAAAGATATTTAACAAAAACAAGTAATAAATGACTCTTAACGTGAACGTTTCGATCGTATTCGAGTTTTAAACGCGTGGGTTTTACTCCAGATATCGTAAATAATGTGGTATTTAAGTTCTTTAGAATTCATGTTGGTAAATTATTTTTTCTATTGCGATCGGTAGAAACGAATTTTGCATGGATTTTCGGGATTGTTTTTTTTTTTCACAGCAGAATTATGGACTCTATCTTAGATTGACTAAAGTATCTAAAATAACTGTGATATATAAGTTTAAGAGGAATAAATTTTTAACATAAATTATGTTCGAACAATAATAAAAACAGCCGTCACTGTGGCGGGTTATACTTTTGAACAGCCAGTATGCTTCACCTCTAATTAAATAATAAACCCATTATTGTTTCGAGATCTTGATTACAAAATATCATTCTTAAAAATGTGCTTCGTCTTCGATTTTTGATGTGGGTTATTATATGATAATCAGGATTACATTCCCTAATGATTGTTATGTAACGTTAAATGATAATAAAAAAGTTTCCGAATAATTTTAACCGCTAGCTGAAAACCAAACCGAGAATCCTTTCGTTAGCAATACTATTAAAATTGTAATTCAATATCAATAAGAAGAACCGGCAAAAAATCAGCAAAGGCTGCTTTTTCTCTTCACTATCATCAGCCTATTAATTTACCCACTGCGGAGGTACAGGTTGTCTTTATGTATGGAATCTAAACGAATAGAATGGAAGAACGGGCCAATATCCACCATGCGGACTCAGTGCGGATTAGTGGCTGTAAAAAACTGCAGGTGTAGCCGACTCCGGCGGCTTAACGTACTTTCTGAAGCACGTAGAAATTTGAGATAGTAAATTTTAGTCACCCATTCTTTGTCCTGCCCTTACGAAAACGCAACCGATCGCGCTAATTACTGCGCCATCAAGCTTTGTCATCACTTTCGTTGTTAAGGGATTTATATGCCCCTGACAACGAAAGTCGTCATACAAATTCTTTACATGTTTTTTTAATCAGATATATAATACCTCTATAAATAGTTAATAACACCCACAACTTTCGTATGAACTCGATTCCCGCATAGAGATATTATTCAGTCCAAATCTGCCATTTAATCGTATATCATTTTTCCAATAAAACCTGTGAAAACCACATCTATTGTACCTCGATCTGCCAATTCGGTTGCAATGGAAACTAGATCGAAGCATTTCGACATTTCTGATTTATGTTACGTTGTATCTCCCGTGTTACTTCCCTCCGGGTCTTTGATATCTTTATAGCCCCATCGAATGTTTATCATTCATTGTTTTGATTATAATCCGGTCTTTTATATAATTCTAAATTATTATCAAAAACTTTTGAAGTCTTAATGTTACTGATTTATGTTTGCTTTTATTTTTAAGAACATATGATATATATTTTTAAATAATGCCCATTTGAGAACTATTAGTTTAATAAAGGCAATTAATAGATCAATAGAAAATACGTTTAAACGTCTAATAACAAACGGAGTGTTCAAATCTATTGAAATTCTGTACCAAATCCTTTGTTAATCTTCGATCACAACAGGGAAACAATTAGTAAAGCTGTGTCGGAGGCAGTAGTTATTAGAACACAACGCGTGGCTGCGACACCGGTAAGACCCAACTATTCGTCCCTATCGGCTGCCATTTGAAATTCAGATCGCAAGGCAATAGTCTCGTAATTGCTATCACTTCAACTCTCCGCATACTAATTCTGATGAATTAAATTTTGGTCTGCCTCCTCATGATAGTGCGAATAATATTTAATTTATTCAACAGACGCTATTCAATTTTATTTCGCATCATGAATAACAAGGATTGCTTGCTGTTATTTAAAAATAAAATTTGAATCATCTATTCCAATATCGTTTAAGTATATCAGGTATATCCAATGATCTTAAAACGAAGAAGTTACATAGCAAAGAAAAGTAGTTAATGACTCAAAACGATAAAACATCTGAATGCTACGAAATTAAATATTCGAAATCCCTCAAACAAAACCCATTCGTGAACAAACGAATGAGCACATTTCTGACGTGGATCCGCTTCCACAGATTTCCCTCGACAATCGTGGGACTGCGCCATACTCATTAAAAAACTTGTAATAGTACCTAACTTCTCGGGAATTCCGAACAAAACTTCTTCGAGCTAGGGAGTTCCACCTAAAATATTTAAACACGGCAGTGGATTAAATTAAAAAAAAAGAAGCAGTACTGTCATAGCACGAGGGTGTCTTAAACTCAACATTTGACGAAGTACAAAAGTTTAAATTAAATTTATACGAGCACAGGGGCAGAGATGAATCGTCGGCCGCACACGTCCGCGCTCCACTCTGCTAAATAACGACAATCTAGTTTTAATTGCAGCTATTTGTCTGCGAGTCGGGTGCTGCAGATTGCGTCGCCAATGGACCATTTTCGTTGAATTTTAACATATTAATGAAGCTACGACTTCGAACACAAGGGGAAGATACTTAACGGACAACAATCTCTGGCGCTGTAAATATTTTAGTTTAAAGTGTCATCAAAAGTTTTTGAAAGGCAATCAAAGGAGCATAACATTAAATAGGAATGGTATAATAATCTAAATTGAACTTCGAAATTACCATTTAGATCAAATGTATTTTGATAGCAAGACGTAAGAGGAACATTAAAATATGATGCTATGATGCATCGGAGAGTATCAGGTTTTATCTTTTAATTTTATTATTAGTAGTTTATTACGAAGCTTGGTAATGTGTGGGGCTAGCTCAAGTGGCTTCGGTTTTTTGTGGCGGACGGCGCTTGAGGCCGCCACTCCGTTTTTAATGACTCTATTAAAGTGATTAATAGGGTCTATCGTTTAAAAAACATCCATGTTTTTTTTACTGGGTACAAATTTAATTAATGTCGATAGAGATCTGTTAAGCGTGTCGGGTTAGTAACATCAAAGATTGTGTAGCTTATTATCATCATTTTTAAATATCTTATTACTACAAAATAACTTCAATTGATTAATGTATATTAATAACATTAAAAGAATTTTATTGTATATTTGATTTTTTATTGATGAAATAACTGAAAATTGTGAAAAAAATCTTTGTATTTTTGTGCCAGCAAATTCCTTGCAATTAATTGTATCAGTAATTTCTTCAAACGACTATTTTTCTGGTTCTATCATCAAAGCACGTATGTTTGCGTTTCGTTGAGTAGGAATGCACAGCTTAGTATCGACCGCGGCATTTCGCTCATCACGAGCCCTGCTAACTGGATTGTCGTCCCCTGCACCCTCCGATCTTCCGCGCGAGCTGCCGCCCAATTTGGCGATGTCTACAGCTTTTTGCGCATCCCTTTATGTTCACATAAGAACCCGCCATCAATAAAAGTCCTCATATGGAACATTCCTTTCTGACGTAACTCTTCACATAAGCTCCACAAATATTCATGTACCACATTTTTGCATAAAAGCGTTAACACTCGAATTCGCAACATTTTGTACGTTCCTGAAATTGCTTGTGAAAGTCCAATAAAGAAAATAGGGACACGAGACGGATATAACGTGGAAGTGTATCCTTAAATGAGAATTTCCAAATGTTTCCGAAGCCCCATATCAAAGTTAACGTTGTAGCGCACGCCTCGTGGTCTGTCAGCCAGTGGCGCTCCGCCTGCCGCGCTAGTAGGACGCTGTCACGCTTCTCGTGCACGAACCTATCGAACTCGAATACGATTTCACGATTCACTATCTCAAATTCTTAATAAAATTCCAAAATAGGTTTTCTTCGAAATCTTTACTAAGTTTTTTGTCTATGTAACAAAAAAAAAATTGTTTTCCGTGGCAATTTTGTTTGAAAGTGAATTTTGTTTGTGTTTATTATTGCGTTCTTTCTGAAACTCAATTGCGGTGAAGAATAGAGCGGGTTGTTAGCGTGAAAAGCGTCGGACCGGACGCTGCTATTGTGCGTACGATGTATCGGTCCATTTATAGAGGTTGGGCTTAATAACATTAACCTCAAATATGATTGTGCTGGAGTCTAGTGAAGGAGAATCACCAGTTATGGTTTCATGAGAATATCAGAGCGAAGATGATTTTAAAAATGGGAGGGAAACTGCCTCCGGGCGCGAAAGTCGCACCGGAGCCGCAACCTTTGAGTACAAAGAAGGATGACAGGAAAGAAGAAAAGAAAGATAATAAGAAGAAATGGGAAAGATGCGAGGACAGATGCCCTGGGGACCCGTGGGCGTATTGTATAGTGTTATGGTGTGCGTGTGCTATGAGCCTGATATCGAGCGGTTATAGTTTGTACAAACAGCAAGGGCTGCAAGACCGGTTATCTTTACTAGAAGAGCAGCATTTAGCGCTAAGAAGTGCTGTATTGGAACCTCAACAGCCGATGTTGGAGAGACTCCGAAGGGAGGTTCTAGCGAGACCCCCTCCCAACTATTGGAGACCAAGGAGAAGCATCAGGGATTATGGAGATTGCGTCTGTCCAGCAGGTAAGCTTATAACCTTGTATCCACTATATATACCTATTAACTTTATAATATCAATGATATCATATTTTCGATTAAAAATAAATGTTCTTTTTATGTTATCTTACCTGCAACTTGTTTTATACCGACAATAATAAAAAGATCACAAAAAGTTTATAATTGTGAGTAAAATAAAGTATTGACCTTAATGAAGCGCTCTGTGTTGTGCCCGAACGATGTCAATAGGATGGTGCTTATTGTCATTTTTGTTTTTGGTTAGGTAAGTACTAAATAAATACTTGATGTTCATAAATAATGTTTTCTTTTTAAGGTTCTTATTAGTGTAGAATCTATCTATACTATAGATAATCAACCTATTGTGCTATTGATACCGTAAAAACTGATTGGATCTACATTTATGCCTGTTTTCAAAAATAATCTATTGTTTTATTTTTAAATACAAGTAAAACTTTTTTGACAATTATCAGAAACTATAGACAATCAAACTTTAAACACTTGATATTTTGCATAAAAACTATTTCACTTAACTATCATACGAGTATCATAAATATTAAACAAACAAATACTTCTTTGATACATAAAGAGAAAAGGATATGCAATATCAGTGTATTGATCTAGCAAACAAATTTGAAAGTTAAACAAACTATCTCAGCTTTACTATTTATTTCCCATCGCCACATACAATATTGAATCGATGTACTTTTATCAACATTTACCCAAGAGCAAATGAAAACATATCAGATTTTGCATTGAACGGACCGTTTCGATTTTATGTTCGAATGCTTTGTCTTTTATGCAACTTATTTCAGGAATGTTTGTTGGAAACTAATTTGTATTCATGCTGTGTTGTTGTTTACCAGCGTTTATTGTTGTTTGTACTTTAATGATGTACGGCGGGTGAAATTACCAACAAATTTCATTGCCCAAAATAAATAAGACACGTATAAATTTATAATAGAAAATTATGTTACAAACATCCTAATATTAAGCTGGTAACGTTAATTCATATACTTACCAAATGCAACTTTGACGACTGCATAATAAATCTATGTGATCTGAATGAAGTTTCTTTTGAATATAACACAATTAGTTGTAACAACATTCACTTTAATTTTCAAATAAATATTACACTTCAAAGACTATAAACTAGTCATATCACAGGGGTGGAGTCCACTACAAGTAATATCAAAACGGTCCCGAAGGACAATCACTTCAAAAAGAGCTATTAAATTTTTTCTCGCTCCACGGCCGCAATACGAAGTTAATCCCGAGTTGAAAGCTGTCAACTAACCCCACGCCGTTGAACCCAGCCGCGCTGCTGATCGAAAAAATGATAAACGCCCGATGGTGCGAATGCGAGACTCTGAGGGTGACACTTTTATTTAAGACTCCAAATACGTTGCAGGTAATAAAGAAATGGCCCTTTTATTACACCCATTTAATACCAAGCGTAAAACTTACTCAAATGTAATGTAATGTATGTATGTAATGTAATGCAGGGACAGATATCGGATAAAATATAATATAGAACTATTTTATAGGCCAAGAATTTAGTGGTGTTTTTGTCATCGATTTATTTTCTGTTTATAACAGATTACTAGAGATGCTTTGTAAATTAGATGATTACTTCATAAATGATGTGGGAATGAGTTAATCTATAAAATAAGCAATGGGAATTGTAGAGGCGATAAAATTGACGCGTGCACGTGACACATGCTGGTCACCCTTCGTATGTTTATTCGGATTATTGGAAACGGTTCTATGACTAGACAATCATAGTTTTTGCGACATTTATGGTCAATATTGAACTCTATGCCTTCGGTATAAGAATAAATGTATTGCATTTCAAATTGGTGTTATGGACGATTGATCACACATTGTTAAGTAGACTGTTAGGACCAAACTATTGATGTTTTTAAATGTGAACACTCATTATAACTAAAACCCTATGATTGTGTTGGTAAATATCCATTATAACCTTTCAAACATGCTATTATTTGAAAAAGTTTCTCCAATATTAATATTATATAATAACTTTAAAGTGCTTAGATCGAGAAACCTCACGACCGCGGTTGCTGAGGGCTAAACTAAATCGTTGTTTAAGACGCGGATCCCTAAGCAAGTATTTGCGAAGTAAAATTAATGTTTGGTGAGGCTTATTTCAGTCGCCCCGTTATCTGAGCAAGCACGCGAAGTCCTAAAACTAATAGCGAGTCTAAACAATCCGGGTGTTCAATCAAAACTATTTAAAGCCGACGTCATGGAAGTGTGAAACCTTTGAAAATTCGCCCAACGAAAAGTTTCCGCGATGAATTCATGAGCGGGGTCAACGAAACCCTACACCCTTACCGATTACGCAAAAACTGTTACCGATACAACTTTCGATTCACTAAAACTACTGTTGGGTGCTACTGAATGTGGGGTAGGTAATGAAATATTTAAAACTTCCAACTGACGCGTGCGAGTTTTAAACTAATTTCTGTTTTGGAGCAGTTTCGTAGAAGGTCGAGATGGAGTAGTGTATTATAATATTCATAATTGGACAGAACTTGGAACTCTTATTACGATGAAAATTTATTTGTATTAATTCACCATATTACACAGTATTCAGTTTACGAAATATTTTCATTAAAAACAATATCATATTAACATTGTATAACTATGAAGAGTTTGTGTAACCAAGAAGGATGTATAAGCACATTATTATTTTGATTTCGATTGCTTAATTTGTTAGATGCTAAGAAAACCATTGGACTGATATAATTGACTTAAAAACGCATCCACATTCTTGTACGGTCTATACATTTGTAATATTAAAAAAGACTTCAAATAAAAGCTCAGTGAGAACCTGAATGTTAGCAAAAAATTAACGCACTTCTTTCACAAAGGATTCTCCTCACATAAGTTGTTCCATTTACAAAATTTTATATTATAAAGATTCTTGTTCCGTTATTTGGTAATCATTTAAATTTTGTAATATTTAAATGATTATTGAATTTTGCATTCACAATTTTATATTATCATTTATCACACAAATTCACCTGGAATAAGTGAATTTTTGATATATATTTTAAAGATGAATATCTAAATGTTTCCTAAAAAAAACATCACATTGCGAAACAATCCAAGTCTATGTCATGTACATTTTCAATTTGCCCAGCCGTGTCATTCCTCTCAATATCTTTACACGAACCTTATTAGTGGTAATTGTCTTCAAGATCTGTGAGCGGTTTTAAAAGCTCGGTGGCAATGTTTGGAACATTGTACTAATTGATTGTTTGCACATCCTCGTCGATGGAGTCGTCACGAGTTACTGTTTACGTAAACCGGTGATCGAATGATAATTGAGTAGCTCTTCTACACCCACGAAATAATGACCCTTCACTTTCCTATTAACAGTAGCAACATTCAAAGATTTTTCGTCTCTTTTCAAATATATAATTCAGGACCTTTTTATACTTATCTATGTCTTGATAGTGTTTTAAATATTTCTAAAGTATATTTGTGTTTTTGTATTGATATTTTGTGCTTCTTATTACTAAAGACATTATGATTTGACGAATAAGTGTTCGTTTATATCTTTAAAACTTTTCTTTAAATGCCCAAGTTTTTGATGATATTAGTTTTGGACGATTCGACACTATTTGAAAGAAGTCTAACTCAAAAAAATTGTTTCGACTTTTTTATTTTCACTCCAATAGTTCACCACCACCCTCTCACCCTCCTCATACTTCGTCGTTATCAAATAGATTAAAAACTTTTAATACTTTTTATTAAAACTTTAACAACTGAGTTGTTTGAATCGAATTTTTTGATAATAATTTACTTAATTAAACGAAACAACTTTTAAATGGGTATATCGCGTTTGTATTTAGTTTTTTTCGGTATTTTTTTCAAAAGTTGTGTCACTTATGGATATTGCGCGTGAAGATATAAGAAATAATTAATTTACTTAATTACCTGTGTTCCCGCTGTGTGTACGATGAGATCTACATAACGGATTTAAATACGTTATAATTATATGTAATCGGGTCCTGTTCGTGCATTTTTTAAAACTATTAATATACCTCGACGTTTCAGCTACGTTACAGCAGCCGTGGTCACGAGGAAAAAAAATGAATTTAAATACGATTTTCATAAATATACAGACTGATCCGGGAGGATAATATAGAACCATTGAGCTAAGTGGCTGGCAGAAATCTAGTTCCTTATATTGAACGCGTGAAAATATACTTACATTTTATTTCGTTTTGAGATTTTTTGTCCTTTGCTGTCTTCTCAAATTACAAGCACTACTATATATTGTGTTCATTTATATATTTATTGGTAGAATAATATACTTTCGCTATATCATTAAATAGCAAGTCAAAAACATCTATAATATTCATAGTAGACTTAAACAAGTCAAAAACATCTATAATATTCATAGTAGACTTAAAACTATTAACAATTTCCTATTCTACATTCTGCATTATAATTGTCTCGAATTAAATGATATCAGTCAAAACAACTCTCCTAGTACTAACCAGTAGCGTTATTTTAATTTCCAATACAAAGCCATCGGGAGATATTGGCTTGTCACATGTTTTGTGGGCCCCAAAGCGTCGCGTCCCACAATAATTTAATCCCGACCCGATGACAGCTAAACTTACTAAACTACCAGGGTGAAAGACATTAAGACCACGCCGATGCGGGGCAATCACAGCGTTGATTGCACGAGACGCGTCGACACCACAAATGGATGCAATCAATTACAACAAGAAGAAATCTAGAATCGGTGAACAAAATGATACAATATTTGAGAGATCAAAACATGTGAAAATAGAAAGAGAATATTCTTTATCATTTTCTTTTGTAGTATATTTGTAATTCCTAAGTATATAAGGTGCTGACCTTGATAATGCCCTTGTTTTTGACCACTAGACTTCTAAATATTCAGTTAAAAGTGGTGTGCATTACATTTTTGTATCCTTCGAGTCGATTAGCAACTGTACTGTAACTGTAGTAGTTTATTCTTCATGTTTATTAGTTTAAATACAAATATCACGCGTACGAATTAATATATCTGAGGGTCCATTCTATTTGTTCTAATAATTTTGTTAAATCATAATCGTGAAGACTATTTGTGCATCAAAGATATTGTCAGGTTCTATCTGCGTTACGTCATAAATTATCGCAAAAATGTGTTTCTTTGGAGTCGTATTAACATTACGAAAATGGACGAATTTTTGTTTACGGAGGAATATAATAGAACTTCGGGTGTCACTAATTCATACGTGTAGTACCTTTGAAACAAACCAAGATTAAAATAATAAATCAAATGCGTATTCATATAACCCACACATAACATTTCTTTAAAAAAGCAAAATAGAGAAAATTTCGGTCCAAAATGTAATTCCCTGTGTAGAGTCTCTTCCTCAGATTTATGCAGCGATCGTTCGCTTGATAATATACTCTGCAAGTGTTAAGTTCAAGCGATTTGAAACCTAAATATTTATGAAATCATTATTCATTAATCTTTAAAACCTCTTTGTGAAAAAAATGATTTCTTTATTTATTTTATGTGAGTATTTCATTTAAAATATTTGAGAGGTAGAAATATCTTTTCTCGCGAATACGATATAATATTGACAAAATTATTACAAAAAAATTTAATTCAGAAAATAATACAGTTATATATATAATATAATTTTAAGTTTGTTTTGGTAACACAGTTTTTAATTATTTAGTAGAGAAAAAACTTGTTTCACACTAGCCAAATTACGTTTATTAAAGAACAAACATTGAGCTGAACATTTAAAATGTTTCGGAGGCATCTAATTACCTAAAACGACAAGCTACTGTAATACGAGGTGAGCGGAAATGTGTTCTCGAAAATAATTTTAAATTTTAATTAAGGTCGATATATTGCCGAAGTTATATTTTTATTCATTATGAAATAGCGTGATATCGAAAAATTATAAAAATAATATTAATGGTTTGCCAATAATAATTTAAAAAATGACATTTGACTTCGCGTTATACGCCATCATTGTCTTTGTTATATCATTGACTGACCGTTCCGATTTCATCTCGTTTCCTCTACTGCTACTTTTATAAATACTATACCAATTGTTACTTGTGTAAACTTAATTAATTAAACTAAAATAAAAAACGCTTAAGTCTATGAATTGCCCAACGTCCTACTCGCTACATTACTAATGGCAGCGGTGAGAGGTTAATTGATTCTTCCAAACTAAGTTCAACATAGAAACCGTTGGCCATGGAAACAAATCCCAAAGGCTCACATCCAATCACTTCTCAGAAATACTTTAGTCGAACAATCATCCTATAAGAAAATTAATATTTTTTTACGTTAATAATAGATACAAATAAACAATATCATAACTAATTTATTGATTCTTTATATTTTTGACCGCTATATGTTCCCAAACGTAAATATAACATTTTTCAACTAAAACAGCCTATTAAGATGAATTTTGTGACAGTTTTTAAATAATACTTAAGTCAAGAACTACATAACGTCAAAATTTAAGTGCTCTTCGTAGACTTTTCAACTGATATATTTAATAACATTAAAATAATTCAAATGGAGCAGGATTACTGAAAACAGTTAATTATTATCAAAATGTGGAGTTTGATAGGACCTACTGAGGCTAAACAAATTTCCACCGAATAGTATTAACTTTTAAGTTCAGTTTCTAGACTCAAATAACATATTGTGTCTAGTGCCTGATCTTAAAATAACATTAATACGTGTTAAACAATTCTTATTAACGTCATTTTATTTTATCAAACTTTGATTATTGAGTAGTTGTTTATGTCTTTCTCCATCTGTTGTTTCATTTTCTCTATCTCAATAGCAACTTCAGTCTGTGTCACGTGACTTACTAATTGCGGCTCATCTCGAATTTCCAATGTGGCTTGAAATAATTAATAGCGTTCCGCGGATGCCTCGCGGTGTTACGAGCGATGCGGTTCAGGGCTCCCACATTACAAATGATACATTCCTTCCATATATAGATCTTCAGTTCTGTTTGAAGTAGGTTATGTACAAAGCAAATTACATAATTTCTTCAATATTACTATTAGTAAGCTCAGGGCATAGTGGATAAACAGCGTTGCCCGCGAACATTGATGTGAAGCAAGGATCGGTCACGAGATCGGTGACCAAATATATATTATCAGGAACTTCTCCGTACTTCGGGAGGCACGTTAAGTCATTTCTTTTGGCTGCATTTGCAGTCGTTAATATCCTCAAATCCGCATTCC